GGATTTTTTGCCTAAAAATTTCAGCTCCAAAAGCAGCTTCAGCAGCACTGAACCCAAGTGAAAATGACACCATTTACTGCCCCTGAGTAGAACCTTGGACTGCAAGATGGGAAGGGGTCAGAGGCTGCTGAGCAGGGGCTGGGTCCAGGCAGGAGAGGAAAGGAGGCCAAAAATCCCTTCCTGGGGTTTTTATGGCTCTGGGAAAGCTGGAAAAGCCCAATCTGAAAAAACCCCAATTTTAAAAAAAAACCCCAATCCCAGACCTTGAGCTGCCCTGAAGGATCCACTCATGGATCACATTTATCAACCACACTCCAGCCCAACTCAGCACCCACCAGAACCCCAAAAAAGTACCACAAATTCCGGGTGAAAGTGAAAAGCCAAGGGGTGGATGCACCCCAAAAACCCTCCCCTAGCTCCCAGCAGAGAGGATTTCCCACCAAACTACAAATTTTGGAAAGGGAGCTGGAAAACCCCAATCTGAAAAAAAAAACCCGAATCTGGAAAACCCCAATCCAGAGCTTGAGCTGCCCTGAAGGATCCCCTCATGGATCACATTTAGCAACCACACCCCAGCCCAACTCAACACCCAGCAGAACCCAAATTCCAGGTGAAAGTGAAAAGCCAAAGGGTGGATGCATCCCAAAAAGCTTCCCCCACCTCCCAGCACAACGGATTCCCAACCAAACCCCATTTTTTGGGAAGGGAGCCCCCCAACCTACCCACATCAGCYGCTGCTTTGGTTTTGTTGAGGACGTAGGAGTGGCTGGCAGGGTTGTCCCCRACCAGCACCACGCTCAGGTGGGGTCTCCTGTTGCCAGCTGCCACCCACTGCTCCACCTCGTGCCGTGCTTCCTGCCGGATCTGCCGGGCCAGCTTCCTCCCCGAGATCACCACGGCGTCCCCTCTGCAACAGGGACAGTGTCACCACAGCCTGGTGGCTCCCAGACCCAGGAGGATGGAGAGGGAAAAACAACGGGAAAAGGCTCCTTCCCCSGAGCTCTGCAGGGACCTCGGGCACCTCTGAGCTCCAGCACATCCAGCACAGTTCAGCTCCTTCACAGCGCCAAAGCTGTGACCAAACAAGGCACAAGCAGAATATCCTGAGCTGGAAGGGACCTGCTGGGATCACCCATCCATTCATCCATCCGTCCATCCATCTATCCATCCAACCATCCATCCATATCCCTCCCTGTCCATCCATCCATCCGTCCATCCATCCATCCATCCATCCATCCATCCATCCATCCATCCCTCCTCTGGCCCTACACCCCAAAATCCCACCCTGTGCATCCCTGGGAGCACTGTGCAAACATTCCCTGAGCTCAGACAGCCTCAGGCCGGGACCATTCCCTGGGGAGCCTGGTCAGATCCCACCACCYTTGGGGGAAGAACCTTCCCAAAATCCACCTTAAATCCCCCTGGCCACGAGGATATTTTTTCCCCAAAAAAAGCCAGGAATACTGTTCTCTTTCCCCTGTTGGTCCCATTCACCTGGGGCGTGTTTCCAGTTAAGATCTGGGCGTGTTTCCAGCTAAGATACTCTGAGTTCCCATTTTCAGGCAGGCAGTGACCGGGAAGGCACAGTAGCTTCACCACAAAGGATTGGCACAAAGCACAGCTTTGTCGAGGTCTGTTCTGTGATCAGGCAGCACAGGAGGCACCCAGGGCTGTTCCCAGCCATCCTCATCCCCCACAGATTCCTTGGCAAA